TGGACCATGGAGTACTTCTCAGCTATTGGAAGGAATGAGCTGTTTACACATGTAACATGAGTGAATCTCAAAATAATTATGTTGACTAAAAGACATCAAAACAAAAAGAGTATGTACTACATGATTTTATATGAGTCTGTTATATAAATTTCCAGAAAATGCAAACAATTTTAGAGACAGAAATCAGACCAACATTTGCATGGGGACAGGGGTCAGGAAAGGAAAGAGGAATTACAAAGGGGCATGATGAAACTTTGGGAGAGTGATGAATAGGTTTCTTTAAAAAAATTATGTGTGTGAATGTTTTGCCTGCATGTATGTAAGTGCGCCACATGCATGCAATGCCTCTTGAGGTCAGAAGATGGAACTGGAGTTATGGAGTTATGGTTGTTAGCCACTATGTGACTGATGGGAACTGAACCTGGGTACTGTGCAAGAGCAGCCAGTGCTCTTAACTGCTGAGTCATCACTCCATCCCTGGATATGGTTTTTAAGCATGTGCAGCCTATTTATGTCAGGGAGTTAAAAAAATAATACAGTAGACACTATAGCATGGATACCATTCCTTGCCAGTACCAAAGCTCTTCATCCTTTTTTTTTTTGTGTGTGTGGGGGGTGTTTTGTTGTACCTGTGTTGTACATACCTGTGATTTTATCCACATAGCCTTAGGTGGGTGACTCATCTGTTCCAGGTGATGAGGCCCCCTTATTCCTTTGCGGATATGGATAAAAATGGCTTTTATTTGCTGAACTTGATTAACACATCTGACATCATCGGTCAGAATGTAATTTCTGAAATATACTGCTTCTGGCTGTCTGTGACCTCTTATGTTATTGGACTGAGAAGACTTATTTATTCTAAACATGAAAACAGATCAAGTGACCATAAGTGATTTTTTACATAAAATTACAGAGCCTCAGAGATAATTTAATTCAACCCTCTTATTTTTATAGAAAAGAAAGCAGGATAAGTGATTTACCTGAGATCACACAGATAGTTAGAGTCCAGAACTCCTCCTATCTCTTAGTTTATTTTTTACTGCACAGATGTCAAATAATTGCTTTTTTGCCCTACGGTTGTTTGTATCAGCTCTGGATCAGTACGTATTAATCTTCAGGAAAAAAGAAATACAAGCACAAAACACTCCATGGGCCATTGTTAAATGATGTCTCCAGTGGAATGATTCTGTTTGAAGTTCTTTTTCTCCTGTGAAGCAAAGGAAACAAAAGAATGTTTTTAAAGCAAATAAAATAAAATTGAGCCCCTTGCAGTGCCTTGTATGATAAAGTTAGTGCATTTGTCAAGGAATGACCAGTTTCACCTCCTGTATACGCTGAGATTTCAATGCAACCCCTGCTGTTTGTTTGCACAGAACTACCTCAAACATCATGTGATAACTTGGAAAGCTTATTCTCCACTGGCTGAGACATTATAGATCTGGTTACCTCATTTTTGTTCATGTGCTTGCTCATTTGTTTGATCAATATATATGAATGCTTACTGTGTGCCAGGTACTGTTTTAGGCACTGGGGCACACTGGTCCCAGATGCATAAAGGTCCTTTGTGCATAACCTATAAATTTTGAGATAGGGAACACAGAAAATACATTCTCAAATAAATATGTAGTATACCATATATTGGCAAGTGATGGGGAAAATTAAGTAGACTGAAGGGATAGGGAGTGCCAGGAACATAAGTGCATATACATATTTTCTTTAGCATAGTTAGGGCAAGCCTTAATAATAGGGTGACATTTGAGAAAGGCCATGGAACAAATGCAGGAGTGAGCTTGAGAGTATCTGGGGGAGGAGCACTGTAGACAGAATACTCAGTAGATGTAAAGAACCCAAAATGACACATGTGTAATCTGCAGTTGAGTTGGAGAGTGGCTATGAGGAAATTAGAATGGAAATGGGTGAGAAGCCAGCCCTGTAAGACTTTGTTGACACTTGTAAAGAATGTCATTTACTCTGAGAGAGAAGGATATCAGAATGAGTGACATGGTTTTATTGCTTCACTTTTACAAACGGGGGCAAAATTCACATAACATGAAGTCATCATTTTAGCTATTTCAAGTTCGATTCTGTGATTGTTAGAACTTTGGAATCCCTACTCTGGATTTATTATATTAATTGAGTCATGCAAACTGTGGACATTTTATTTGGCTTCTTTAAGTTAACAATATTTTTAGTATTCATCCATGTTGCAGCAGATGTAAGAGCTTCATGGTTTTTCATGAATGAACAATATTCCATTGTATGAATATATAACATTTTGGTTAGCCCATCAGCTGTAGATTTGACTATTAAGAATAATACTGCTATGCTCTGTCTCTTGTCCTCCTAGTAGCTATCAATTGCCAAAAGGTCCTTAGGTTGGGTTTGGAGTTCTTAGCCACTTCCCCTTGACTGTGTTAGGATTTTGTCTGGTTTGAGCTTGCATAGGACTTGTGCATGATGCCACCATTGCTGTGAGTTCATATGAGTAACTTTATAGCTGTCAGGAAGACTCTGTTTCCTTGAGGTCATCTACCCCCCACCCCCAAGGCTCTTACAATCTTTCAGCCTCCTCTTCTGCAATGATCCCTGAGCCTTGGGAGGCAGAGGTCTGAAATAGGTGTCCTATTCAGGGAAAAGCACTCTGTGGCCTCTTGTTCTTTGCACATTGACTCTTAGTGGGCCCAGTGGATGGCCCCATGCTGAAGGACATATGGGGACACAAATCAGGTTCCAAATGTTGTATTATAAACATATGATATGTACATATATAATATATCTAATATGTAACACACTGCATATATGTAATATACACATAAACAATGTATGTAATTCATAGTATATTTATATGTAATATATATCACATATATATGAGAGTACACTAAATTGAGTGAGGGTGTGATGGGAGGAGGTGCAGATAGGATAGGGACTCTAAATACCATCAAGCTATATTATATGAAAATTATAATAAAATTCAATAAAAATAAAATTATTAAAAAAGAATAATACTGTTATGAACATTCATGTTAGTTTTTGTTGAACATACTCTTTTCATTCCATTGGATTTATGCCTTAGAGTAGATTTGCTGGTTCTTTGGCTAATTCTATGTCTGCTTTATTTTTTATTGGTTTTAATCAGTATTTTTGAGATGGGGAATGTGAAGCAGAAGGAGACCTCACTGTCTCAGTCTCCACAGAAATTCTGACTATAGGCATGCACCACTGCACCTGACTTGGTTTGTACTTTAAAAGCTTATTTGGCAATTGTGTTGTAGATAAAGTTCTTGGGAACAAGAGAAGAAGCGGAGATCAGTGAGAAGGTGCTCATGATCACCAAGCTCCTAGATGATGGTTGATTGGATAGAGAAATTGCAGTGAAGGGGATGGGAGCCTGTTCTAGTGATACACAGAAGATGGAGCCAACAGGATTTGCTGATAGATGGATGAGTCATCACATTTTTGATCTGAGAAATTAATGGATGAGCTTGAGGGACGGGCAGGTTTGAAGGAGATTAATGACTCTAGTTTTAGACTTGTGTTTAAAACATTCAAGTTGAGATGTGAAATAGGCTGTTGGGGAAAAAGTCTGCAGTTTGGGTAAAAGATAAATGTGAGCTTTTAGTTTACAGATAATATTCAAGGCCACGAGCATAGATGGACTCAAGAGGGAGTGATTCAGATACAGAAGAGAAGCAACTCAGGGGAGAAACCTGCACAGACACAAGCATTCTGTAAGAGGAAGGACCAGTAAGGAAGACTGGAGGAGGAAGAAGACTCAGAGGAGGGAACCTAGAGAGTGTGGAGTCATGAGGGCCAAGGGAACATGTTTGGGATACTTCCCTCTTTCTTGCTTCTCTTATTAATTCTGTGAACTAAGGAATCCAGGAGTGGTGTTCTTCCTTTTAAGGAAGAAATGCTCTTTTGAATGCCCAGGATCATCCTTCATTAAGTTGAGAAAGAATTCAGATCTTTTATTCTTTTCTTTTACACTATTGCCTGCATGCATGTAAGTGCACCTGTTTTGCAATGCCTGTGGAAGTCAGAAGAGGACATCAGAATCCCCTGGAACTGCAGTTACAGTTATCAGCCACCATGTGGGATCTGGGAATCAAACCTGTGTCCTCTGCAAGAGCAGGCATGCTCTTAACCACTGAGCCATCTCTAGAGCCTCAAATTCTGACTTTTTAAATGATATCTTTGTACACACTGCTTATTTCTGAACATACATAAACTCCACTGAGGACAGTTATTAGAGAACCCAGTCACTAATATTTGAGTATCTACTCTATGCTTGCCTATCTTCTAGGTAGCATGAACAGAGCAGAGGGTAAGAAATATAGACACTGTTCTCATGAAATGTAATATGAAAGAGGAGAAAGACAGGAAGTGAATAATTTATGGTATGAAGTATATAATTTGTGAATTATATACATGTGAATAAATACATATATAATGGTGCTGCCAAGAAATCAGAATGCATTGGTAATCGGCCTTGGAGTCAGAGATATATGGAGCAATTGACAAATAAGGAGAGACCTGAAGGAATACGTTTAGTAGCTAAGGAGGAGTGGTCATTGCAAAAAGAGCATGTCAAGCACAGAAAGGAGGAAAGAAGCAAAGGTTTGGGATACTTGGGAAATCAGAAGAGCTTAGTCTTCTGGAATGTAAAGTGTGAAGAGGAGTGGAGGGTAAAGATGAAGCTGCAGAACTTAGGTCACTAGAATTTTCTTGCTATGCTAAGGAGCTTGAATTCAACCCCTATAACAATGGGAAAATACTGCAGTGTTTTAGAAGTCTGCTCATATCACTGGGACTATGGCTCATTGGTAGAGCACTTGCTTAGTGTGTGTGAGGATCTAGGCTTGATTCCTAGCACTGCAAAAGCTACTCACATGTGTTGAGAAAATCAGTCTGGTTAACATTATGAATTGGTTGCAAAGAAAACCAACTAGAGGCAGATGAGTTCACCTCCTCTAAACACTGGCTCTTGCTTTTTCTTCTAGTGTGGCATTTGAAGTGCCAAAGCTGAAAAGTGGAAAGAGTGCATTGGAGGCTGAGAGCGAGAGTCTGGATAGCTACACAGCTGACTCGGATAGCACCTCCAGGTGGAGTTCCCCGATCTCCCTCACCTCTGCCCACACTGAGCACTCATTTTGATCTCTAGCCATCAGGACGCAGGTCTCCTGTGCCTTGAATGTTCCTGATCTTTGTCCTCCAGAAATTGAATGAAATCTTATCTCTGACTACACCAGAAGTCTTTCTTTAGCACTGCTCTTGCTTTGGCTCTGAGAACAGCTTCCTCGAGTGTCCTCAGGAGGTTGTACTGTGGAGGATTCTTCCTAAGCCAGAGGCAGCTGATGCTGCTGTCCCTTAAGAATAGGGGTGTGAGTATTTGTGTTTGTGCAAAGTTCCTTGCCTGATCTTCTGCACTCCTTCAAGGTAACTCAGAGGTGAAATGTACCTTCTTGATTTGGTTGCTGTAATGATGCCAAGCCAGTGACTAGCTAGAGCTTTGGGGCCTGGGTAGAAGAAGGAGGAAAAGAAGTGACTTAGTTCTAACTTCTGATGATTCCAGGAGAGATTCTCTGGATAAATCTGGACTCTTCCCAGAATGGAAGAAGATGTCTGCTCCCAAATCTCAGGTGGAGAAGGTAAACTGCGTGCTATTGATTTTTCCCATCCAATCCCTGCCGTCCCTCTATCCTTCCCCTCCCACCCTCTCCCTCTCCCTTTCTTCTTATCTCAGTCAGAATTTAGACCAGAAATTTGACTAAAATTTACTTCAGATTCACTTAGAAGCATTTCAAATTGTTGGTTGAGGTGTGTGTGAAAATAGGTTTTTGTAGTGCTTCTGGGCATTTAATCTTTCTTCTAAGTTTGTCACAGTTGGGTGAAAATCTGACCCTTATTCTGCTTATGACCATCTGTCCCTGCTCAGTCCTTTCATCTATCTGCCTGTCTTTTTCCATTCCCTTGCTCTTCTTCCTTCTTAGGAAATTCAACCAGGGAGTCAAAATGCAGTGTCTATGGATGAGGGTGACATGATATTCAAGAAGAATACCAGAAAAATCCTCAGGCCTTCAGGTAGCTGGTTTTCCTTCATGGCCTCCTGAGAATGGCTTTCTAAGTACCCTTGCTGGGCTCTTGGTCTGGAGTGCAGAAGATCTCTTTTGACTTGAGTTCTTGGTCTTTTACTCAGACTACACTAAATCTGTGATAGATCTTCGTCCAGAAGATGTGGCACAAGAAAGTGGCATCTTGGGAGACAGAAGCAAATCTGTACCAGGGCTCAGTGTGGATATGGTAAGTTCTGTTATATTTCACTTGGCCACTATATTAAAATTTTTTAAATTTACAGTTGGCTTTATTGCCTAATTTTCTCCTCCAGTGTGTTTAATTCTTTAGAAAAGGTGAAGTAACTCTTAATTTACTCAAAATTTGTGAAGTAGTGTCCATTCCTGATTACCTTAATGGAAAGAGCCTGTCTTTGGTATCGCTTGTCTTCTATCACATGGTTGGATATGTGGTTGGCAGCTGGAATAAATGCTTATTCTGATTCAAAAATAAAGACAGGGCCAGCGAGATGATTCTGTGGGTAAAAGCAGTTGCTATATGAGCCTGACAACCTGAGTTTGATCCCTGGAACCTACATAAAGTTAGAAGGAGAGAATCAATTGCACAAAGTTGCTTTCTGAACTCTACACACGCACACCATCCACACACAAATAAGTAGAGATTTAAAAATATATAAAGAGATGGCTAGACTATGGTAGTCAAATGAGAAAGAGTTATAAAACCTATGAAAAATAATAAGTACTTGTATTCTTTTGCGATACGAAGAAGATGACTGGACTAGATCTAGGAAGCTGGGAATCAGGGGACATTAATAGCAAAGATATATGCATACATGTTAACATAAAAACTCAAAACTTTTGCAACCAATTTTGCTTCACACTGAAGTAAAGATATTAGTTTTAGAAACTTTTATTAACTCTATTTATTGCTCCAGGAAGAAGAGGAGGAGGAAGAGGAAGACATTGATCACCTGGTGAAGTTACATCGTCAGAAACTGGCCAGAGGCAGCATGCAAAGTGGCTCCTCCATGGTACTATGTGTTTGTGCTTATAGACACATTGGAGTACCAGGAAGGAAAGAAGAGTCTCCCTAGAACAGACTCAGGACCTGGGGGAATCATCCTAGTCACTCTTTCTATGCACATGCATTTGTTTGTTCCTATCCTTACCTTAGACCCTATGTACTAAGTGTACTCCTGATGTATCCTGAACCTCTGCTCTGGAGTTTCTCAAAAGAGATAGTAAAGGCTAGGGGCAGTCTATCATCCCAACTTTGTGAAAAGGAACTGTAACTTCTCTGCAACAGTAACCAGGCCATGGAGCAAACAAGATCAGACCTCTTCATGTTAGGCTGGTCCCTATTCTCACACTGAAGGCCACGAGGAATGCCTTTGCCAGATTGACATTGAGGTGTTGATAGGGATCAACAATACAAAGTAGCCTCATGAAGTTAAAAGGGACATTTGATAATCTGTGCCTATCTCTGTCATAAGTATAAAGATTGATATTTAGGTAAACATAGTTGGGAAGAATGATTAGATTTTCAACTCACATAGGAAGAAAATGTTGAGTTCTTCTTACACAGCAGGGTGCTATCGGACAGGAGGTGGTGCCTTTCATTTCCAGTAGTGTCTACTGCACTACTCCTAATTCTGGCCTAATTTCTTTCCTCTATAGATATTGCTAGATAAAAGGTAAAATAATTAGGGCACCATGTTTTAATTAGTAATTAACCCCTTCTAGCTAATGTTGTAACATATATAACACAGATAGACTTACCTGCACTTACCTCCCTACCCCTTTCCTACCTCCTGTGGATGGTAAAAATTAACAATAAATTGTATAAAAGGAGGGGGGGAGAGACACTAATAGCCCATACGACTCACAAGCTGAATTATTAACCTGAACAATTGTAAATATGCTGCCAGAGCTGACTTACCCTCTGGGTAAAGGACTATTGACACTGACTCTTTGCATGTCTTTCTGAGACTTCTGGCCTTATTGTGAGGGAAGATGTGAGCAATGTGTGAGGCGGAGTTTGTCTTCCTTAGACATTTGTGGTTGCTTTGCCCACAGAGTACCATCGGCAGCATGATGAGTATCTATAGTGAAGCTGGTGATTTTGGGAACATCTCTGTGACTGGCAAGATTGCCTTTTCCCTGAAGTTTGAGCAGAAAACACAGACTCTGGTCATCCATGTGAAGGAGTGCCATCAGCTGGCTTATGCTGATGAAGCAAAGAAGCGTTCTAACCCGTGAGTGCTTCTGGAACATGATTAGTGCTCTGAGATGAAAAAGCAGACCTCAGCATCAGTCTGAGCACTCTTGAACCAAATTTATGAATTTCTTGGGGAGGGGTAGAACGGTGAGGTGTGATGTATTAAAGTGCCTGGGACTTGGAAGAAGCAAAAATGCATATCTGTGAAGGCTTGCTGTGACATTCTTGACATTGCATTTCATCACAACTTATTTTTATGCTGAGCAGGGAAGTGAAGAAGAGACTTGTATAAAGCTAGAAAATTATTTAGTTGCTGTCTTTGGTTTTTAGGTATGTGAAGACTTATCTTCTGCCTGACAAATCCCGCCAAGGAAAAAGAAAAACGAGCATCAAACGTGACACCATCAATCCACTGTATGATGAGACCTTAAGGGTAAGCATGTAGACCCTGAGGGGAGAAGGTTTTGTTCTGTTTTGTGCTATAGCTATGCCTCTGCATTTTGGTTGGATGACCATGTCTATGCCTGAGGATTCATTTTGGGCATCTGTTCACATCCTGACCTCCCCGGGAAGAGAACAAAGGTGATTTGGCATCCTTGGATTTTTGTGATGTTAGAAATTCACATGACCACAAAGCGTATTTTAGAGAATTATTTGAATGTGAAGGAGATGACTTAGTAAGTAAAAGCACTTGCCTCCAAACCTGACACCCTGAGCTTGATCCCCGGAACCCACATGGTAGAAGGAGAGAACCAACTCCCCCAAGTTGTTCTATGACCTCCACACACATGATAATGGCATGCTCATGCCCACACACATACATGTAACATGCATATACCCCCACCAGTATATATATAAAAAGAAATAAATAATGTAATACAATTTTTAAGAAGTAATTTGATATAGAATCCCTTGGCAATTGTCTTTGAACATGCTAGTGTCTTTTTGATCACTCAAGGAAAACATGGCTTCTGGCAGACTGTGTTAGGTTTGGTGAAAGGGGAGAAGTTGAAGGGTTGAGTGAAGCAACTTAACACTTAGGAACTAAATACATTTGATATGCATATGCTGAACTGCAGACCTTCGGAACAGGTTGCTTAGGGTTTGGAAGAATTGTTTTTGAGGAATTACCCTAACTGGCTGCCTTGGGCCGCTTCTTTCCCTTCACAGTATGAGATTCCAGAATCTCTCCTGGCTCAGAGGACCTTGCAGTTTTCAGTGTGGCATCATGGTCGTTTTGGCAGAAACACTTTCCTTGGAGAGGCAGAGGTCCACATGGACTCCTGGAAGCTGGATAAGAAACTGGACCATTGCCTCCCTTTACATGGAAAGGTAGTCTGCTTTAACAGTCATCCACAGCCTCGCCCTGCGGTGGATTATCTACAGTGGCCTCTGCCGGTCTATGTTGATAGCAGCTTTGCATGTAGCATTCTGTAGAGTTCTACCGCACCCTGCTGGCCTTTCAGAGTTGGGCAGCAGTTTCAGAGGCTCTTGCATGTCAAGTGGGAGTGATCATCTCCTTTGTGTAAGCCAGGCTACAGCTTTGTTTCAAAAAGTCTCTCATATGTATGTGTGAAGCTTTGCCTCCTAACATCCTAACTTATACCTCCTCTCCAAGCTACCCTTTGGGGTGGGTCCTAACCTGCACCCCTTTTGAAGCCAACCTTCCTGCTACAGAAGAGGGAGGCGAAACAGTTCATGGAGCTGCAATGGCTGTCCTCTTGGTTATGTGCACAAGCCAGGGAAATTTTACTTTGGAGATGGCACCTGAGGTAGGAGTGTAGCAAAGTAGCATAATTGTGCCTGGCATCTCAGTGCAGACTGGGACTAAAATCCTGCTTCTGTCACTTGCCCACTGTGTGACTCAGCTTACTGATAGCTTAGGGTTTGGAAGAATTGTTTGGAAGACTTCACTTATCTTCTTTGAGCCTGAGTTCCTTCCTCTCCAAAATGGAGATGACAGTAATATTCCTCTTTTACAGGACTGAATGCAAGGTGTCATTGCATGTGGCACATAATGGGCATTTCATAGCTTACTGCCATTCCGGTTAAGATCAAACAGCTAAAACAGAGAACTTTAGCCACCAACTTCTGGTTTCTTAGAAGCAATAGAAGACAATGCTAAGTAAAAAAGATATAATAGCATTTTAAATGTTTCAAACAACACAGAACTTCATTTTACTATCTTTTTTAGTTTCTCTTTTTTACATTTTGGAATTTTTAGCCTGTTAAGAATATTAATGCCAAAATGATTTATAGATACACAATTCCAAATTAAAACAATGTAATATATGTAAAAAGAAGGTCATTTCATTACTTAGAAATAGCCACTGTAAAAAACAACTATTTTAATTATCTTTCTGGAGTTTTTGTATTAAGCAGCACAGATATTCACCTATCTATTTAACAATCTATCATCTATCGATCTATCAATCTGTCGATCTATAGCTACCCATCCATCCATCCATTTATCCACCCACCTACCCACCCATCCATCCACACACACATGCTATATTCTTTTTTGACCCACGTGAATTCAAATGAGCCTTTTGTGTATATATACATATATCTTTGTTTTTCATTTAACAATTTATTATGGACATCTATGCCATTACTCACAGGTTGATATCATTTTAATTTGTGCATAGTATTCTCTCACATATTTGTATTATAACATTACTTGCCATTCCCCCACTGGTGGGTACTTCAATTGCTTACTTTGTTTCTTTTAAAAACTATTTTTGTCCTTTTAATTATTTTGAGGTACTCCTGATTCAACCCAGAGCCTCACACATGCTAAACAAGTGCTATACCACTGAGTCACACCCCTGACCCCTATCTTGGTCTTCTTTTAGGAATGTAATTATCAGAGAAAGTTCTAGTGGTAGAATAGCTGCGTCAAAGGAAGTGTACATCCAGTAATTTGATAGCTGCTGCCTTCCAGAAAAAAGTGTTATTAAGTTTGTTCCTTTATTAGTCATAAAAACAGGAAAGCAGTTACTATAAAACATATTATTAGAAATTTCAAGTTTTTTGAGCATTTGGCATGTGAATTATTCTTCCAATTGCCTAAAGTTTGTATAATTATATTGAAAATGGTACTGTAAACCACCATGAAGTGCCTAAAATAAAAATGTTTTACATTAAAATTAAGGTATTTGCTCTTTGTACATATTTTGAGTCAGATTGAAAATATGCTGTGGAAACAAATATGTCCACTTCACAATACCAAACTCTGTTTTTTAAGTCAATCTAGAAATTAACAAATTGTGTGGACACTTTATTAACAAATTGCCATCTCATCTCTCTCTTAAAAATTTTTCAAAATTTGAAAATTTGCATTTTTCCATTTAAAACTATATCAAAGCCAGGCATGGTGGCACACACCTTTAATCCCAGCACTCTGGAGACAGGGGCAGGTAGATCTCTGTGAGACTGAGGCAAGCCTGGTCTACATAGTGAATTCCAGGCTAGCTGGGGCTACAGGGAGACCCTGTCTCAAAAAACTATCAAACTATTCTATTATACTGTTATTTAATATGTAGAATATATTGCTCTCATAAAATATGATTTTTTAAAACTAAAAGAAAGTTTTAAATTAAAACATTTAAAATTTAAAGATTCTATATCTGTTAACTTAAAGCATTCTATATTTGGTATTTCTGATTTCTTTTTGGCCCCACAATCCATGTGCTACCATTTTGTTTTGTCTTGCTGGCATTCCCCTCTCAATACTCTTCCATCTTTCGCATATACTAAGCTTTGTGAATTCTGGGTATGTAGTACATCTATTGAAACCTATGGGGATTATGCTTCCTAATATCAGTGTGCTCAGTAGTGAGGACCTAGGTTAGAGTACTGTCAAGAAACATGGGCAAGTTAAAGGGTACCTCTACTTTGTTCCCACTCATGCTGGGGCAACCAGTGCATAAAGATAGTGACACACAGAGAACTAAAAGAGTGACACAGTTCTTCCTCCTAGAGACAGCCATAATAGGCCACTTGCTCTGCATCTTTGACATTTGTTTACACATTGTTGCAGTCATTCAGTAAACATGTAGAATGTTTATGCATATTCGGTACTTTACTAGATGTTGACCATACAAGGATGAATAAAAATGAGCTTGACTCCCATCCTCTTGACACAGATTCTAGTGATAGATGTTAATTCCTTGTGAAGGTTAACTCCAAATAACCTCCTTTATATGTATGCATATACATACATACACAAACACCCACAGGTACACACAGAAGGCACACAACATACATCTTTCAGAAGCTTATACAAGGGGCTGGAGAGATGGCTCAGTGGTTAAGAACACTGAATGTTCTTGCAGAAGACCTTGGTTCAAATCCCAGCACCTACATGGCAGCTAACAACTTCAGTTCCAGGGGATCCGACAGCCTCTTCTGTCCTCCACAGGCATTGCATGACATGGGTGCACTTACCTACATGCAGGCAATACATGCATACACATAAATATAAAAATGATCAAAATTTTTTGAAAGTTAAAAAAAGAAGCTTATAAAGTAGGCCCATATGGTTTTTTTTCAAACATCCTTAGTGTTAGTTATCCCTCCCCATCCCCTTCTCTGCCCTGTCACCCATCCCTCTCCTCATTTACACCTCCTTCCCCATTATTCCCCTTTTCTACTTCATAGCACCTGTGTTCTTCTCTTTTCTGATTCTTAATTTGTTCATGTTTAGCCTTCAGAGTTCCCATAAAAACCATGCCACCTTACCTGCTTATTACTGTATATACAATCTTTAACTCCAAAATACTGTCAGTGAACCTGAATTCCCAGGAGCCACTGGAGTGAACTAATGACTGTTTTTGATCACTTCCACTTCTATTGTCAAAAGAAGATATTCAATAATTGATGATATTTAAAATAATGTAAATAAATTTTTGAAGGCAATTAGAAGAGGAATTGGAAAGATGAAATTAAATCTTAATGAAAGCAAAAATATGTAAATAAGGGGTTGAAAATGTAGATCAGTGGTAGAGTATGTACTTAGCATGTGTGAGGCCCTGGATTTGATACCCAACACTGCAACAAACAAACAGTATCATATTAAAATGTGTGTAACAGAGTTATACCTAACTCAAAAATTTTACAAGCCCTCCTTCTCAAAAAAGGGCTTTTTGTTTTTAAAGCTCTGATTTGTCTCTTTTTCATAAACTGGACTTTATGGATGTTAATATAGAGTAGGGAAAGCTCTCTTTCCTTTTCTCATTCTGTTCTCCTTGTTTTATTTTTCTGTAGCCTTCTGGATATTTCCATGCAGTATAGTATAGTTGTTAAAAGCATGAACTGGAACCAGACTATTTCAAGCTGAATCTTAGTCTGCTAATTATTAGACGTGTGACTGTGGGAAAATTACTTAACTCTTTATTCCTCTGTTCCATAGCTTGTAAAATGGAGATAATACCTATTTTATAGAGAAAACCTTAAGTATTTAACAAAATGATATACTTAGCTTACTAGTAACAGTACCTGGCAAATAGTAAATGCTGTATATGAGATAATGACAAACACATTATTTATATAATATAGTGCACAGGTATAGTTTTAATAGATATATGTGTTTAATAGGAGTGAGGTTTTTTCTTCTTCTTGCTTTGTTCACTTAAAGTATATCTTGGATGTATTTCCATTTCAGAAGGTATAAATTCAATGTATTTTTTAGGATACAAATGAAACCATAGATTTGGGTTAATTTTCCCCAATAGTTATAAGGTAGACCTTGACAGCATATAATAAAATACATCTCTGTCCAGCCAAGATTTAAAGTGAAAAAAAAACTCACTTGTAGGAGCAATTGATACATATCCAAGATAGGGAGCTGCAGCTATAACCATCCAGTTCCCATTTTAACTAATCATATTGTATCAGGAAGGCTGTGTCAAGGCACTGTCCAGGAGAGGAAGGCTGATGGCTTGTTTCCTCCAGTGGCAGTTCCCCTTTCTTTACTTCTACTTGGGCTATCAGAGACAGCTGCCCCTTTTAAAGGTTACATTCTTTATGATAACTGCATGCCACATGTGACATGAAGGCATTAAAGTTACTCTTGACCCCTTCCTGTGTTCACTGATATTTGGATTGCTGCTACATTTGAGCTGTTACTAATAAGGCTGGTAATAAGTTTCTTCATCATGATGTCAGTTTCTTGTACATTTGTATGGCCATCTTGCTGGCATACTGTTGGGAGTATTTGGAATCTAGGCACCAAGGGGTACAATAGTTCCTCTATATATCCTCCTGAAGAGACTGCTGAAGAGACCTGTAGCTGCTGTGAGATTGTGACCATAAGAGAGGGATCATCTTGTGCCATGAAATTGGGGGTAATTTTTTTGTTGTTGTTCGTTTGTTTTATTTGTTTCTGAGACAGGGTGGTGTTGTATAGTCTAGGCTGACTCATCATCCTTTTGCTTCAGCCACCAGAGTGCTGGGACTACAGGGTGTACTACCATGCCTATGAAAATAACAGAATTTTCTCAAGGGAGAGGTTCCAATGGTTCCTGAGAGGCCTGGTTTCACCTGTTGGGTTTCCCTGTGTTTCAGATCAGTGCTGAGTTCCCGCCTGGCTTGCCAACACACAAAGGCGAGTTGGTGGTTTCATTGAAATACATCCCAACTTCCAAACTCCCTGTAGGAGGTGACCGGAAAAAGAGTGAGTTTTTCTTTGGGGCCCTGGATTTAGCTCTTAGGATTCTCCACAGGGTCTATGAGAGGTCAGTGCTGGCATTATTGTATAGAGCAGATTGGAATGCTTCCTGGATCTTCTTGGGAGGAGTCCCAGCCTAAGGAAACCTTTTCTACCTTTTGCAACTGGAAGGGAATGCCTTCGAGTTGGCATTCATTTTAAATTATTTGTAGACTTTTGATGGGATTTGGTCTTGATACAACAGTGGCAAGCTACTAAGAAGGCAGAAGGGAACAGAGGCTTATGGCTGAAAAAGGGAGTTGGAAGGACTGGTAAAGAATGACGGGTGGGAAGTGGAAAGCTGAAGGAGAGTTATGTGGATATATAGATGAGACATGGTACTTGTCTTCTGAGGTGCTTAATTTAGTAAGAAAGATAATCGTGTGCCAAAGAGCCCAGTTACAAGGGTAATGGATCATGGGGATTACTTTGGAGAAAGCTTTGCTGAAGAACTAATGTTGCAACTGCATCTTCAGATTTTACCAGGCAGAAGAGGAGAGGAGGAATTTTAGAAGAAAGGACAGGACTAGCACAGGTTTTCTTTGGAAAAGCTTGGTAGGGACTGGTGGGATGGTTCATTGGTAAAGAGCACTGGCTCTTCTTGCAGAGGACCAGAATTTGGTTCCCAACACCCACATGGTGGCTAAACAACTATCTGTAACTACAGTTCTGGGGATTCAGTGCCCTCTTCTGGCATATGTGGGCACTGCACACATGGTGCACCTATGTATATGCAGACAAAATTTCATGCACATAAAATAAAAATTAATAAATTAAAAAGACTTTTTAAAGCTTGGTAGCTGGCCATGTTAATGCACACCTATAATCCCAGCACTTGGGAGGCTGAGGCAGGTGGATTTCCATGAATTTCAGGCTGGCCTGGGCTATTGGGCTACAGGCCAGATTGGGCTATACAGTGAGACCCTGTCTCAAAAAATACATAAAAAAGGAAAATAAAACAACATATAAAATGTAGGCTGGGAATGCAGCTCAGTTGGTAGACATAGTATGCACAAAGGCCTTTGTTCCATCCCTCGAATTTCATAAACTGGCACTCAGGGGTGGAAGCAGGAGGATTGGGAGATCACGGCCATCTTCAGCTATATAGTAAACTTGAGGCCAGCTTGTTTTAGTAGAGCTGGAGTTACGGTATATACATATATCTTTGGATGTCCAGCTGGGGCTGGAAATGAGCCTGAAACCCAACTGAAAAGGCCCTTGAGTGAAAAGAGTTTAAACTGATCTTCTGGCAATAAGAAACCAAAGTTCTTTTTAAAACAATATGCCTCCAAGCAAGGTCTAATATAGATTTGAGGAATTAATGAGGTCCCGAGGAGGATATGCACAATGACTAGAAAAGAGGCAAAGATAGAAGCTGAGGGAACAGCAACATTTTAAAGGGTGAAGAGAAGAAAAAATGTCACCGAGGAAGAGGCTTATCAAGACATAGAAAGGCCAGGAGAGCGTGAAGAAGAAGGTGGCAGTTGTTGACACTGTCCAAACATTAGAGGAAATCAGATGAGGACTGAGATGACACAGCTCACTGGCATAGAGTTGGAAGGCATTTCAGAGGATTAATGAGAGCTGAAAGTAGATTTCAATAGAAACTAGGCTGAATGGCTGAGGCACAGAAGCACAGATGATGAATGTCGGCCATTCTTTCCCAGGGTAATTGATGGTGAAAGGAAAGAGGCATGGAGAACAGCTTTTCAAAGGAGATCAGATCGAAGGGGGGGTTCTTTTAAATAGATTTTTTTTAAAAAGAGCAGTGAGATCAGCATATATTCAGACTGAGGACATTGATCGGCAGGGAAGGGGACATTCACAGAAGCAGGTGGGGGTGGAAATTCTTGATGCCTGATGAGTTCTGTGAAGTAAAGGCAAGATCACGAACACAGTGGAGGAGTTCCTTCCTGTTTCAATTGCTCAGCAAATTTCAGGCAACTTTGATTCTCTTAGCATCTGTTGACTCATGTATAAAATGAGGACAATCATAGTGTGTATCTTCTAGGACTATTTGAGGCAGTTGAATACTCGAGGCCAGTTTTCAATAAGCTTTTGTTGCCATTGAGGTTAGTAATTGAATTCCTTCTGCTTACTGGTGGACACTGTGCTAAGAACAAAGGGTAGAAGTCAGGCATGGTTCAGTTGTTAAGGAGTTTGCTCTATTCAGGAGCAAGGAGAGGAAGTGCTATGTAGTTAAAAATCAGGATGCACCTGGTGGTGTGGAGGCTCACTTGCAATGGCTGATATCCCTTACAGGTAAAGGTGGGGAAGGGGGAGAGCTCCAGGTGTGGATCAAAGAAGCCAAGAACCTGACGGCTGCCAAATCAGGAGGGACTTCAGACAGCTTTGTCAAGGGGTGAGTCCCTGGGCCAACATCAAACTAACAGGTTTCTGGACAAGGGCGTTATCAAAGGAACCAATTTAACCTTTATCTGTGGAACTTATCCTCATGAATCTTGCCACCCCGAACAGTGAACTATGTTCCTGAAATTAGATAAAGCAAAACTCCAGCCACCATCTTTGTACTGGTCTGAGTTCAATTTTTACTGGACTATGGGGCTAGTTTTGAAAGATGAGGGTGACAGATAGGTTCTGACTTTCTCTGACTAGTCTTCTTCCTTAAATATTGGTGAAAATTTCATGTCCCTTGACCATCTAGATTTGGAATTCAGAGCTTAGGTGTCCATAATTTTTAAGCAATGTACGCTTCCTCCAAATTAGAGATCACTCACTGACGTTAGCTCCCCAGCATATCATGTTTAGTTAAGCCTATACCTATTACTAATGGCTTCATTTGCTTTGTATAGAAATGGAACCACATATTTAAAAATCATTCTTGGTGGAGCATAGGCCACAGCCTGACTAATGCTATATTCATTTTCTCTCCAGGTTAAAGTAAGTAAATGATCTAGTGGAGGTAGTCTGCCTTAGAGGATTCAAAGGAGGGCTGTGTGCACTTGGACCTGGGTGTTGGTTCACCATCCTGGGCTAGGCCTGTGGTAGGGCAAATGGGAATTTAGACAAATATTGCCAGCTTTGAGTAGGTGTTGATGACTCCCCACCCTCTGCCAGATACCTCCTTCCCATGAGGAACAAGGCCAGTAAGCGTAAAACTCCTGTGATGAAGAAGACCCTGAATCCCCACTACAACCATACATTTGTCTACAATGGTGTAAGGCTGGAAGATCTACAACACATGTGCCTGGAACTGACTGTGTGGGACCGGGAGCCCCTGGCCAGCAATGACTTCCTGGGAGGGGTCAGGCTGGGTGTTGGCACTGGTGAGAGTCTCTCCCCCATCCGTCGTCACCTGTCTTAAAGGCCTCTTGTCTATTTTACTCTCACTATCTCTCCCCCATGCAAAGATCCTTTATGAGAGGAAATGTCTTCCTTTCAGTAAACATCCAACAAGTATTTACTGAGTGCCTGTTATGTGCTAGGCTTAGGGACAGGCTGAACTCATACACTGTTAAATGTATAGAAAGATGACCCTGACAACCCAGGATCTTAATCATTCTCCTACCAAAGGAAATCTAAAATCTACCTAGACAGCTAATCTATAATTTCCATCTTCTATCTTGTTACAATGAGAGAAGGGTCTCTGCTAGCAAATCCTTCCTCTCCAAGGGTTCTAGATCATTCCCTCCCCTTCTCGATGGCTCCACTTCCATAATCTCCCTCTCTCTGTATGATCAATTTCATTTGCTTTTACTATTGGAGTAGAATACACATATGGTCTAGTGTTTCCAATCTCTTTGTTCATTTGTTTGTTTTGAGATGGGGGTCTCATGTAGTCAAGGTTGGCCTTAAACTCCTGATCCTCCTGCCTCTACCTCTCAAGTGCTGAGATTACAGATATGCACTGACATGCCCAGCCCTAACTTTCTTAAATAAAAAAAAAAATGGAACGTACCTTGACCATATGTCCCTCACTCTAAAAAGAATGATCTCTGCTTTTTGATCTCTCCTTTAATTTTTAGCCCATTGTGATCTGGCTTCTGTTCTGCCACTCCTTGAGTGGTTGCTCATGCCAAAGTGGGGTTCTTTCTCACTAGAATTCTCGCACTATTCAGTAGAACAGCTTTCTCTCTTCTTGAAATACTTACCTTCTATTGTCATTACATTCTTTGATTCTCTTTGACTCCATTGCATACCACTCAATAAAAAAGTCTTCAAAGAAATTAAGTCAAGTTGTCAATAACAGAATGGTAGCAGCTCTGATGTGGGGTGTCAGACATAGGAGTTCTGCAAAAACCCCTGAACAAGAAGTCTACATTGGCATTATGCCATTTGCAGTCCCATTTCATCAGCCTGCAGGCTCCTGCTCTCAGGATCACAGATGTTTGTAGAATCAGAAAGGACCACTTGCCAGCTTGTTGTCCCCATCAGCTTGTCTTCATTGTACATTGTCTTCTGGTGGGGTGGCAACCCTTGCTGTATAACCCATCTTTCCTGATGGCCTGAGGTGTGGAGCTCTGTTCAGCTTCTTCTGGTGTTTCTCCTCAGGAATCAGTAATGGCGAAGTGGTGGACTGGATGGATTCGACTGGTGAAGAAGTGAGCCTGTGGCAGAAGATGAGACAGTACCCAGGGTCTTGGGCAGAAGGGACACTGCAGCTACGTTCTTCAATGGTCAAGCAGAAACTGGGTTTATGAGTCCCTATTGTCCTCTGCAAGTGCAGCCCTGGTCAGGCCAAGTCAAAGGAAATGAAGAAACCATGAAGAAAGATTTCTAATTTAATGTGTATGCATGTTGGATGTACGTGTTATAAATATATACTTCTGCAGATCTCATTTTGCTAGCTAGAGTGATACAGGCTTGTTCACCCTTTTAAAGCAGGCTCAAGAATAAGGATGTTTTCAAATGGCTTTTATTTATGCACAGTGTGGTGTATTTTCAGAGTACTTCTTTCCTCTATCTTTATGTGGTTTAATTAACTTTAAAAAAAATCCTTTACACCAACTTTCTACTTTCTGTCTCACTGTTCTTGCTCCTACTTCCCCTGGAAGCATTGACTGCCTTTGGTATTAATTCTAGTTTGTGGACCTAGAAGTGGCTGATGTGAGGCCAAGGCTCTGGGAAGCAGGATTAGGATAATAAATATGGGGGAATATGGTAGAGAGGTAAGTAGGAACAGTCTTTTCTCTCTAATTTGTACTTTTAACTCATCATCTACCTTGATAAATTTCTCAAACTTGGCTTTTAACTTTTCTTGTTTTAAAGCAGTTTTCACATTGCTTGAGTGTAGTGATTTTCTTTAAAGTGCAATAAAATTCCCTGGTTGCTTTGCAGACCTTTGGGGAGCTCTTATAATGGAGTCACTTTAGAAAATCACTTTAGTTAGATAATAGCCTTTTCACTGGCACATTAACATGCCCAAGGCTGATCCCAGAGGGCCTAAATAACTGAGGGTAAAGTTTGTCATAGCCCATGCTGAATGCTCCATGTTTTAAACCATTATAGTACATTGCTAGAGAGAGATTTCTGCATTTTCCTAGTGGAAGCTGAGACATCTTCAGTCTCATGTACTCCATTTTTCTCTGAGTTTGTGTCTGGGGTGTGCTGCCACATAGAATATAGTATGCATATCTCTGTTTCGGCCAGAAGAGCCAAAGATTGTCTAAAGTGGCATAGTGATCCCCCAGACTTGGGACTACTATTTCCCCATGAGAATGTAGGTAGAATCTCCCAGCTATTCTGACTTTCAACCTGATACTTTTCAGTTCCCATTTTTGTTTGTTTCCTAAACTTAACCTATACGTAATTAGGAGGAGTATCTTGAAGCTTTTGAAAGAGGGCTCTGGTAGCTTTCATTTCCTGCCTCTTTTCCAAACTGACCTTTGCATTTATAGCTATATATCTAGACAAAAGTTATGTGTGGAAGGAGTCTATAGCAGAAAAGAAATCCCTTTCAGTGGAGCCAGCTGCTACCTGACTTTCCTGTAAGGCCACGGGATTGCAGGCAGCTAGTGTGTATGGGCTTGCATGAGTGAACTGAATAGCAGAATGTTTCTTAAAGACCTATTTGGTATGGATTGATATTGTAATGGAAAGCATAACTTTTGTTTGTTCTTTGGTGTTCCACCCCAACGTGTGTGTGTGTGTGTGTGTGTGTGTGTGTGTGTGTGTGCGCGCGCGCGCGCACGCTTCAATAAAGCTTTCTCACTTGTGAAGTATTATATTTGTAGATCTATAGTTCTATGGCTGCTTTTGTCTCTGATGTCCTGACTTACTGTTCCACTTTTACACATGTCTTGAAGGTAAGAACCAGACTGATATATGCCCCTCTCTGACTAACCTAGAAGAAAATCTGCTTTTCCACATTGCTGCCAGATACCTTTGCTGAGCCTTTACCCCTTGTCCTGTATGTTTGATATCTACAAATAGCACCACTTTTCTCCCTCTCAAGTACCAATGGAAGTTGGCCTTTGGCTTTTAGACTGCCCCTTGCCAGAGGGAAAACAGAGATGGTCACACTGTGTTGAGGGGACACAGTCCATGCTATGAGCACTTTCTGAATTATTCAGTTTATCTGGGACATAGGGACTTTCTCTCCAAGTTTACTCCATTATTTAGATTGGAGAGCTAAATCACTCAGATGCTAAGTAATTCATCTCTTAAATAAGGCTCTGAGTTTCTAGCTAGAGCTCAAGTGATTTTTGGCCTCTTGTGTAAAAATGTATAATATATATATGTATATATATTATACACATATAAAATGTGTTTTGTATGCATGGTTTTATAAAATATTGCATGACTCTTTCCATGATCTTAAAAGTAGGAAACCTTCCCTTCTTGCAAATAAAGAAACACAAGCTCCCTGTCATGCAACAGAACCAGGCTTTGCATCCAGGTCTGAGTCTACCATGTTGCCTCCTGTTGGAATGATGTGTGTTAAGCACAAAGCATTAAGGGAAGGAATGACTCATCTCTTCTAAAATACCATAGAGAAATGGGATTAATTTATGAAGGAAGACAATCACAATGCTTTGGTAAATACCCAGCCAACTTAATGACTACATAGCTTGTGCTTGTGTATATTTATGTGACAAGGCAGAAAAAAGGAAGGGGGAAGAAAGGGAGGAGTAAAAAGGGAGAGAGAAGTGAACAGCAGAGGCAAGGGGGAGGAGGAGGGAGACACAGGGAAAGAGGAAAATGGCCCTTGTCATGCCAGTTCCTTTGCGTCAGACTGGCTGTGGCCCCTATCTGCTCCTGTCTCTTTCCCCTGCTTTAAGTATTGGTATTTCTTGAGTCATAATCTACAAAGGAATACAAAAGAGGTTTCAGTAAAATCTTACCTAAATAAAGCAATATTGATTTGACTACTCAAAATGAAACACACCAAAAGCCCCTCCATTGTCCTAAGCTACCGTTGTTTGGAATATTTACACACAAGGGTCAGGTTGAGTGAGAACTCTGTTCAGGATATAGTGGGGCCCGTGTGGTATCTTCTGGGCCTTTGGCCTGCTACCATGTCCTGGCTTGCCCCTTGAAGTGTTTATAGAAAGACAAGGAGGGCATTTATCTTTCCCAATATGCAGTCTTTGCCTTTGAAATAACAGACCTTGTTGACTAGAAATTTCCTATATGAACTCATTTTATTTCGCCATCTGTCCGTAACTTGCCTTTGGCCTTTCAAAGCTCCTGTATTTCTCTGGAGGGAAGATGAAGGGATCATTTTCCTCCATCATTTCTTCCATGTTCCATTTGACTTCAGCAATGGCCTCACTTCTTGTTTTGCATTTTAAAAGTATGATTTCCATTAAGACCCCCGTGGAAATAGCTTTCCTCTGATTCACTGGTACCCCCCATATGTTGTGGGCTTGTGATTATGCCCCACTTAATAGAATATTTAGAATAGTGCTTGGCACATAGTAGGTACCTGATCATTGTTAGCTGTTCTTCCCTATCCAGACTGCTTACTGCCACTTCCAGTTTTCCACTGATGGTACCTTGGACAAAACTGAAGGAAAAGGGCATCTAAATCTTAACTATGACTCTGCATTTCATCACTGTATGAAAGTTGTCAGAAGTGAGGGAAGAACTTTGCCTTTCAAACACTGGAACAACAACATTCCTTGGGACAGAAGTCAGAGCAGGGAACTGCAATTGAACATGCTCAATAGCGGCTCTTAGCATGTGGAAGATCCTGGCTTTAATCCCTAGAACAGAAGGGAAAGGAGGGAGGGAGAAAGGAAAAGAGGAAAGGGAAAGGAAGAAAGCAGGGATCTGTGTGTAGTTCCACTTCCCCAAAGCCCAACCTCCAGGCCTGGTTCCTAAGCCTGACCTTTCGCTGTTGTAGCTGCCATGGATTCTGAGCTCATCTTTGTAAGTGGGTATCTGAGGAAATCAATACAGGAGGTTATCCATTTTGTTTCCCTGCTACCTTCACTGGTGCTGTGTGTGTGTGTGTGTGTGTGTGTGTGTGTGAAAGAGAGAGAGAGAGAAAGAGAGAGAGAGAAAAACAACTTTGAGTGTTGTTCCTCAGATGCCATCTACCTTGTTTCTTTATGAGGCAGGATCTCTTACTACTTGGCCTGGTTCTTGCTAATTTGACTAGAGTGACTAGGATGACTGGCCAGTGAGCCCCAGGGACCTGACTATCTCGACTTCTCCAGCTCTGGGATTCTGAGTGCACAACCATCATGTCTGACATTTTTTTTTACTTGGATTCTGGGGATCAAACTCTGGTCCTTATGCTTACAGGAGCCAACTAAGCACCTCCCAAGTTCCCAGAAGTACTCTAATTCACAGGCTGGGGGTAGTTCTCTAATAAAGGAATGCTGTCAGGGTACTGGAGGCCTCAGTGAGCAGAACTTTCCCATGAGCAAACTGCAGCACCAGGAGAGAGCATTATGCCATGAGTGGATGTTTCTTCCCAAACTCACTGTAGTGCAATGTTTTTCTAACTCTTAATGAAGCAATGCTTCAAACAACATTTTCTTAGCCTAATGTCGTAGAAGGGGAAATGACAAGCATCTTCAAGAATTTTTGTGAATTCTTGTTACCCCCCTTCCGTTCCTATTACGATTAACCTGTAAGAAAAAAAATCCATTGACACTGAAAAATGTCCTGTTTGTCTGTTGCGATGCTGCCCTCTGCTGTCACCTTAGGGTAGAGGACCCATTTACAACACAGCCAGTAAATGAATGAGTTTAGCATTTACTTATCTGAAAAACTTTGGAGAACCGGGCAGAGGCTCCAGCTAAGAGAGGAAGATCTTCTACCCACAACTTACTGCCCCAGGGCCTGTCCTTAGTCCCCAGTTAGTTTCTTATGTTCTTCCAATGCTACCTGACGTGGAGGCCTGCTTAGGGAAACTAATATTCCACCTTAAAATGGTGCTGGAAATGTCCTAGGATTGACAATCTCTATCTCATAGTCTTTTCCTTAGCAGAGTGGGAAACAATTTTCTTTTAAAGCCCTCAGTTTCAGCTACTTTAGGGCAGCTTTTCACTTGACCTCAGCCAGACCCTGGCTCAAGGTCATTCGCATACATCTCTTTGCTCCCTTCGCTGTGTCAGCTCCTGGTTGCTCAGCAGGTAGTCATCAATGAATGTGAAGATTTCCTCTGGGGTAACAGGTTCCATGTAGCGTTCACGGTCGATACCCTGCTTGTCAATTAACACCATGTTGAAGTAGGAACGAGTGAGGTGCTGAAATTGTCTAAAGAGAGCAGCCCAGAGAGGCATGAGACCTGGGTTCTAATCACACAAGGCTCTTCCTTAGCTCCACCCCTTCCTGTGTCCCCCTCCCCTCCACTACCTATCTCAGGTCCTTTCTGCATTTTATTTTCTGCTCATTTCCTAGTCTTGCTGGCCCTACATGTCTGTACAACTCTGGCTTTTCCCTCCTCAATCTAGCTGGAACAGCTTATTATTTTGGGGCTTTGCTTTCCTTCTATATCCCTTTAATCAATGTGTATATCCCTACATATTGCATGAAGACTGTATGGAGTAACTCCAGGGGGCACGCATCACAGACACCATGACTTGTAGGTACATCATATGTAGTAGCTCTGAGGTTGAGAAACACCACCTGCTTCACTAGACCTGTAGGTGTAAGTCTGCTGCCTCTTTCCTCTGTTTCCTAGTCTCTTTAATTGGTTTGAATCTTTTTGTCTCCATTGAAACTGAGTCCTAGATGTAGGTGCTGTTTCTCCAACAGACAGCACTGATGACTTTATTGGCCCTGAGTATATGTAGCACTTTAAAGCTGATAATGGATAGATAATGAGAAAAGTGAATTTCTACCACCTGTTACCTATAACTTTCTCTTTCCCGAGGGAAAGAGAGATAGGATTCAGGTTTCACATATGACTAAAGATGCCTTTTTCTCCTTTGGAGACTGAAGGTAAACAAATAAGCCCACGGACAACAGGATTAGAGGCTTATCCTAAACATTGGAGTATGGAGTAGAATCCTTTGGATCTGTCTCAGTTCTGGCTCTTCAAAGACAGCTGAGGTGCCTTTATGAAAGCACAGAGAGGTAGTTTAGCATGGAACTTGGTTATGTATATTTCTAAAATATTTCATTTATTATTTTTATTTTATGTGTATGAGTGTATTGCTTGCATGTGTGTAAGTGCACCCGTGTCCTGCAATGCCTGCAGAGGCCACAATAGTGCATCAGATCCCCTGGAACTGGAGTTACGGACGGTTGTTAGTTGTCATGGTGAGTGCTGACATTTGAACCCGGGTTTTCTGCAAGAGCAGCCAGTGCTTTTACCTGCTGAGCCATCTCTTCAGCCCTGGTTATGTGTATTTTAAACTTTCCTTTCACTGTCATGTCCTACTAGAGTTTAGACTCACTCTCCTTACCTAATATAGCTGTAAGAGTTCAAATACAAGAAGTACCCCCAAGAGAATAGTGTCTGCTGCTGCAGCCATAACTCCCTGTTGTTAGTGTCCTGCATCAGGCTCCCACTCACCACTGCCCTACAGCCTCCCAGCCTGTACCTGAGCTCCTCGATGATGCTGGCTGATAGCTGTTGCTCTCGGATACGCCCCACCTCCTGAGGTGGCTGCCCCACCAGCTCTATGATGGTCACATGCCGAAAGTCCAGTCCACAGGTGGATTGCTGGGAGGGAGAGAGAACCTTTAACAGAATAGGCTTTTGCTCTGAAAATCCAAGGCTCTCTGGCTGATTCCCCTGGCAACCATATGAGGCAATATGGCAAAGAAAGGGCTTCTTTGATGATCACACAGTCTCATCATCAAGTGACCACACACTCTGACGTCTTCACAAACTTTTCCCACTTATTCCTGAAATACTTGCCACAAAGTGGTTCCTTTATTCCATTTAATGATATAACACTGGTTGTACAGTGTGGAGCAGAAAAGAGAAATATAATTCTTGACAGTTACCTGCTTTGGTCTTTTCATAAGTCCCTCTGGTTATATATCTAATGGCTCCTACATACCTGTACCTCCCTCATCAGTTAAAATCACCATGCAACTTCTTCATTTCCTTTGTGATACCACCATACTTTTTGTACTGGTAGTGATGGAGAGCAGAGGTCCTGGAGCTAGACAGCTGGGGCTCAATCCCAGCTCTACCACTTACTAGCTAGTGATCTTCAGAAAGTCACTGAAGCTGCCTGTTTCAGTTTTCTGGCCTATTCAGGGGGGTTATACTGGTACCTACTTCAAATGGGTTGTTGCAAGAATTAGTTGTGTATGTGTAAAAGCATGTAGATCATTACCTGGTACTTATCCAGCACTGATTATACAATGAAAAATTGTGGACACACACATGAGGTTTATTCTTAACATTTACATTGGATCATAGCTGTCTTATAAGCCTCTCCATATTATTTCTCCAATCTTTACCTAGCTTCCTGAAAGATACATCTACCATTCCAGTGGCCTTCTTTAATTTTCTACCAAAACATAGCACTTATTGACAATGTGATCATTATATCTAATGAGAACTCTAATCAAATAATAGTCACAAAAACTTTGAATAAGTAGAGTTTGTGCTGTACAGAATAAACTTTTTGCTAAGCCCTCATTGGGGAGTGGGTCTTACCTGCAGCATAGAGATCTGCATTTTGTAATATCGATTGGATGGGTCAGGAGCTGAGATAATGAGGAGACGCTGTTTTTCATAGAACTGATCCAGGAGGCCAGCAGCTGAGTTGACATTGACATTAATCTTCATAGCTGGGGCAAAAGCAGATGACTAATAAGAGGGCCCCCTTCGCCTTCACCCTGCTAGGTTAACCTAACATCTTGAAGAGTTTCAGTCTTTTAGGTTAACAATTCTTGTCCTCCTTTTCCTGAGGTGAATTCCTAAAGGAAATCTGAAGATCTTATAGCCTTTTGGGGGTAGAAGTAGTCTCTGGGGGGAATTCTGTCCCTTAAAATAAATCCATCTTAGAATCCCCATTCTCACACCCCACACATCAATATTAGATTCTAGGACCATGGAAGAACCCCGCCCTCCCAAAGTGCCCTTGATAACATCATTTTCTGGTTCCACTCACGAGTACAGATGGCTGGCGATCCTGACCATTGACGACTTGACTGGCAGACTCGGGATGGGGTGCCCTCGCGTTCATAACCACCATCACAGTGGTATTCACAGGTGGCACCATAGTTGTCCCCGGCTGAGGTGCAGGTGAGGTAGCCGTGCTGTGGTGGTTTCAGAATTGGACAGCGTCTCACTGTCAGGGAGGAGCTCAAGTTAGTGATAATGGCATCTCTCTCTCTCTCTCTCTCTTTTTTTTTTTTTTGGTCTTTTTTGAGACAGGGTCTCCCTGTAGCCCCAGCTGTCCTGGAACTCACTATGTAGACCAGGCTGGCCTTGAACTCACAGAGATCTGCCTGACTCTGCCTCCAAAGTGCTGGGATTAAAGGCATGTGCCACCACACCTGGCCATCTATGGCATCTCTTATAGGCAAGAAAGGCTAAGAGTTTGCCCGCTCTGAGTTTTCTAGAGTAAGAGACTTGAGATGACCAGAATGAATGGCTTTCCTGTTTCCGGTGTCCACGGATGGAGATACAATTTCTTTTCTTGAGGAATTAAGTTTGAAATGTAAGCACAGGCTCTTAGTGTCTAGAAACACAAGTGAATATTACATTTTCATCAAAAGACTGTGAACTTGTAAAGGAAACTGTTGTCATGCTTGTAGGCTTTACAGGCACCTGGTGCAAAGATGATCAACCTTCAGAATTACTTTCTTTTCTCAAGACTGGGTCTCACAGTGTAGCCCAAGGCGACCTGAAATTCTCTGTAGAGCAGAAGCTGGCCTGAAATTTGGTGACCCCCTGTATTAGCCTCTCAAGTGCTGGGATCGCAGGTATTCCCCACTGTACCTGCTCATATTTTTTTTTCTTTTTAAAAATTAATTATTTTTGTTCTATGTGTATGAATGTTTTGTGTGCATGTATGTAAGTGCACCCATGCATACAATACCCACAGAATTCAGAAAAGGGCATCAGAATCCCTGGAACTGGAGTTACTGACAGCTGTTAGCTGCCATGTGGGTGCTGAGAACAGAATCCAGGTCCTCTGCAAGAGCAGCCAGTGCTCTTAACTGCTGAGCCATTTCTCCATTCCTCAGAATTACTTTTAAGGGCATAAATAAGTCAAATGAATCCATGATTGGGAGAATGATAAAGCAAATCATGATACATTCTATTTAGGTTTTTTTTTGTTGTTGTTGTTTGTTTTCTGATACAGGGTCTCACTATGTATCCCTGGCTGGCCTGAAACTCACTATGTAGACCAGGCTGACCTCAAACTTAACAGTGATCTACCTGCCTCTGCCTCTCAAGGGCTGGGATAAAAGGCATGTGCTACTTTGCCTGACATATGATATATTCTTAGGGTAAGATATGCTGTCACCAAAAATATTTCTAAAGAAATTTTAAAGAATATGAGAAAATTACTTGTGTTTTAATATAAAAAAGTGAAAAAGTAACCTTAATATAGTTTATATATGTATTGAGAAAAAACTAGAAGGAAAACATCAAAATATGATCAGCAATCAGCCCTGGAAGATGGAGGTAATAAATTGTTCTCCTTTACATATTTCTTTAATGTTGTTTGTTTTTGTTTTTTGAGACAGGATCCTGCTACATAACTCAAGCTGACACTGAACTTGCTGTCCTCTTGCTTCTGCTTTGTGTACTGGTATTACAGGCATGTGTTGATGTATCTGGTTATTTTTTATTTATTTATTTATTTTTTTTGAGACAGGGTCTTCCTGTAGCCCCAGCTGGCCTGGAAGTTGCTATGTAGACCACGGTCACCTCAATCTCAGATCAGCCTGCATCTGCCACTTGAGTGCTGGAATTAAAGGTATGTGCCACCATGCCCTGCTGCTTCTTTATTTTTGAAATGTCTGACAATGAGCATGAATTTATTTCTATAATGGGAAAAGAAAAAACAATGTGACAGAAAGCAAAGAAGAAAAAAAAATAGGCAAACAATACCATCATTTCAATAGAGGTACATCAGAGCAAAGGTTGATTATATTTGATTATTTTGAAGGCTAGGAAAAAATGGATATAGCTAGACTTAGTAGAATAAGAAAGTCCTGAGAGTCTGGAGAGTCAAGGTTTCTGTGACAGTTGTATGCATGTGTAGTGTAGCTTCCTTAATTAGCCTGTTTGATGAAGTTGGGTTTCATCCCTCCCAGTATAAATAAGGGTTGTTGTTGGCTTCTAGAAGGGCAGGGAAAAACAGGAATATTGAATAATGTGGAAACTGAAGAACTCTTTCTGACCTTGTACTTTTACAATGAACTTGCAGCTAGCCCGGTTGTAGGCCTGGTCATAGGCAGTGTAACGAATCACATGCTCTCCTTCAGGAAAGTCAGAACCAGGCTCTGGTCCCCGAAGTGTCACCCTGAAGGAGATGGGGTGAAGGAGTTACTGAGCTACTAAAGGAAAGACAATTGAAACTGAGATCTGTGGCACATAATCACCACAGTCTCAGCTTGTGGAGTTTGAGTGTGAGCTGCCTGAAAAATGGGGAGAAGCTTCTGGGGGCACAAGGGGCACACATGACTCAAGCTCACCTGGTGATGGTACCATCAGCAGAATCTTTCACCAGGGGTGGATCCCAGTATACTCGAGCTGTTAGTTTCTCTGGCTCTGCCATCTTCTCACGTGAGTGAGGACAACGAATCTTAGGTGGATCTATGTCTGCCAAGGTAAAAAGTCAAGTGCTAATTTATCATTCTCGTGCCTTCCCTAGAAGCAACCTATTGAAGAAATACTACACACCACTGGGTAGGTAAAAAGTTCACAATTTATCTAGGAAAGAGGGGAAAGAAGCCTGACTCCATGTACAATAATCCTATGCCCATGGATTGTTCTCATAGTGAACAGGGAGTCCTTCTTCAATTAGAATTCCACATCTTTTTATGGACACAATGCTGGGTGGCCCGTTGCAGCAGAATAACTGGGAGCAACCTGCATTTACCTACACATACAGGCTCGCCTCCACTCCATTGCCCATCTTCCATGCAAATTCGGCTGCGGTCACCTTCTAAGTGGTAGCCACTGGAGCAGCTATAATCACAGCGGGAGTCAAGCAGCACCCCGTTTGTGCAGGTATAGGTGCCACTAGTGATGAATGGAAGAGCATGGCATCTCATCTCTATGAGAGAACCAAATGAGAAGGTCAGGACCCTGTGGGACTATCTGGAAGTGATGCCTGAGCATGTAACACAGGGTGAACAAAATCAGAGTCGGCAAAAGAATACAGAAGACTCATTCAAACTGCCCCTTAAAATTTTCTATCAAACTGCTTTTCTCCTAAATTTTCTTTTTATATTCACATTACAAGGTACAGAAGCTAAGTCAGTGATATGGAAAGTGGGGTCTCAAAGAAGTAAAGCTCCTGTCCTTGTACCTGAACATCAGAATGAGATCTGGATTTGCATGCTAGCTTTACCTCTCACTCTGTGACTTGGAGATGTTGCCTCATTTCTCTGAGTCTCAGTGTTTATCAGTAAAGTATATTTACTTCACAAGATCATTATTCAATTTAAGGAGAGCCTCAGCAATGGTTAATTTTGGTTTCTTCTCTTTCAGTTACTACATCTTTTTCAGATGCTACATGTCTTTCAGCTTTTATAGCTCCTCATGGGTATAATTTTGGTGTTGTACAGACAGCTCTTAGACAACACTCACTTACATGCCACACTAAGCTGGCTTCTGTCCAGGTGAGTCAGGCCAGTGTCTGGAGGGTGAGGTGTGGTGGTGTTTAATAAAGGAGGAATCTGTGTGCTTCAGAGAGTGTCACCATGGATTAATTGTGAGTCTGTACTTGCCATAGTCTTGTTTGAGATACCTGATACTTGAGAGAAGTAGGCTGTATATTTTTTTAACACTAAGCTCTAATCCTGCATAAAGTTCAATTGTTAGAACTTTGAACAAAAATTCTGTACAGGCTCTGTTCATTTTGTTTCTTGACTGTACCATCTTGGAAGATTATTGCTTATCCACTTTCCTGTATTTGTTATGTAAAATCACATGCAAAAATGATTTCCTTGAAATCAGAGCCTAGAAAAAAGTTTTTCCTCTTCAGATGAATTCATTTTCTTAGTATTGTATGATAATGAAAGCAACAGATTCAATGCATTTGCCCTTTTATCTGTCAAAGGTCAAAGCTTAATATAGCACCCAGCTTCAATAACCACCATATTCTAGGCACCTGGAAATATGTATATCTTCATTATTTTAACTGGTTTTATGTTTATTTACAATTTATAACCTTATATATTTGTTTTGTCAGTTCCAGTCAAACTCATTTTGGTAACAATGATATTTAAGTCTTAAAACAACTTAATTCTGGTCACCTAAAGGGTTGTGATGACTTCCTTTTGGTCATCCCTCCTCTCATTCCTTCCATAGCCTCCTTTCTCACCAAGCTCATTTCTCTCTGAATCCTCAGCCCTTCTGTATCCAAGGGTACAGCATGCATGTCCACACATCTCTGTTTCTATCCCAATAGCCTATTAGCAACTTGAAGGTGACCAAGGACTAAGTGAGCTCCTGAGACAACCAATATAGAGCCCTGTGCATACAGATGTCTTCCATTTGGTGATTGACATATGGACAGATAAATTTCTACTGCCAAAAGGAGGTAGGCTGAAGAGTTTGAATCAGAAGTGGGGGTTGGGACATAAGTGGAGATATACTTTGGGATATGTATGCATTCCTATCTCCATATTATAGACTCAGGGATTCTTTTTTACTTTCAGACGAAAACGAAGACTAGCAGATTCTTCATTAGCTTGCCTGGCAAGGTCTTCCAAGGCTTGTAGGCTAGTAAGTATGATACTTGACCACAAGTGGGAAAGAGTATAGAACACATCGTTGGAAGTTCCAAAAGGTTCCCAGGCCATTAGTTACTCAAGGCCAAGCCTTATCCTCCTACACATATTTCCAGGTTCCCTGAGTCACAATGGCTGGCTGCTGCCTGAATGTGCATATTGCTTGGATAGTGTCCACACACCAAGAAAAATAAACTATAATATTAGTAGGAAGAAAGTCTCTGTTGGAGGCCTAAGGAAAATTCCCAACTTCCACTTAAAAGAAGGTCATAGTAACACCTCAAGGTATATACCTTTCATGGCCAGCAGGCCTACTTCTCTCTTATACACAGCATATGCTCACATACAACTTACGCCTGCAGTAGGCAGTTCCAGACCAACGCCGACTTGGCAAGCATTGCACCGACCTCCGACCAATCAGTCGAAAGCCCCGGTCACAGGAGAGCTCACAACGTGTGCCGAGGCTGCTGTGATAATTTCCTCCTCTTGGTGAGTAGCATGTGGCTTCTCCATCCTGGATATTTAATGTATAACACCATCGGGGGACTGTAGTGATAGAAGAAAAGTGAGCTAGAAGCACAGTGATCAACATAGGGTGCTGTTATCAAAAGGAAAGGCATGTAATTCAATGGAATGTAATGGAGATCCCAGAAATAGGCCTACATAAGTATGCCAATACGATTTTGGACAAAGGTTCAAAGATGATTCAATGGAGGAAAGACAGTCTTTCAAACAAATGGTGTGGAACAATTGGAATTTCATTTGCAAAGAAAAAAGGAAACATAATGTAAATCTCATACCCTATACAAAATTTAATCAAAATGAATGTTGGATTTACGTTAAAGACTGCAAATATGAAACTGATGGAAAAATGGGAGAAAATCTCTGGGATTCAAAGATGGGCAAAGAAGTCTTAGATATGATACCAAAAGCACAAATCATTAAAGAAAATCAATGAATTGGACCTTTTCAAGATGAAAAACTTTTGCTCTATGAATGAGATCAAAGACAAAGCAGAAACTGGGAGAGAATATTTGCAAATAATGTATCCAACAAAGGACTAGTATCTAGAATATAGGAAGAATTTTCAAAACTCAACACTAAAAATGCAAACAATCCAATTAGAACCCAAATAGAAGACATGAAGAGACATGTTACTAAAGAGTATATGTGAATGGTAAATAAGAATGTGGAAAGATGTTCAGCACTGTTCATCATGCCTATTTTTTGCTGTTCTTCTTGTTATTTTGAGACAGGGTCCTCCTGTAGCCCCAGCTGGCCTGCAAATTGCTATGCAGACCAAACTGGCCTTGATCTCATAATGATCACCTGCCTCTGCCTCCTGAGTGCTGGGATTAAAAGTGTTAGCCACTACACCTGGCTAGAATGCCTAAATTTTAAAATGACAGTACCAAGTTCTGGAGAAGATGGAGGGAAATCACCTGTCTCATACATTGCTTGGGGGAAATGCAAAAACAAAGGTATGTTGGAAAATAGGTAGTTTTAATAAAGGTAATACTATACTGTCTTTATAAAGAAAGGCATGCTTATTATATGATGTTGCAATCCTACTTCAAGGTGTTTACCCAAGTGAAATGATAGCCTGAGATCACACAAAATCTTATGTACTAATGTTTAAAGTAGTTCTATTTAAAACTGTCAGAAATTGGACACAACTCAAATGTCTTTCTTTGGGTGAATGTTAGAACTAATAAATGAATGAATGAACTGCTGATGCGTGTGACAATAAAGATGAATTGCAAGAATATTTGGTGGAGGCTAGAGAAACTAGACATAAAAGACTACATTCTGTAGACTTCAGTTATATGACAAATATTCTGGGAGAAATGCAAGAAATTTTATAGGGGCAGCATATAGATTAGTAAACAGCACCATGGGGCAAGTTTTTGAGGTGGTGAAGCCATTTTGTTCTGTGGTGGTAGTTACTTTATATTTATCAAAACTGACAGAACTGTACACCAAAAAAGTGAAATTTGTTGGATCCAATTTAAAACAACTTTTATAAAGGCACGAAAATGTAAAGTTGAGAGAGAAAGGGAATGTGACACCAAAGAGGATTGCTTAGGACTGAAAGTTCAATCCCAGTTCAGTACTGAACACAAAAGTTTATAGGGCAGTTATATTACAAAGCCATCATAAAGATACCTTACTGGTGACAGAAAATAAATGACTCTTCAACCGGTTTTGTGTTTTTGCTAATTTGTTTTCTTATTTATTTTTAATTTGTACCTAGCATAGAACTGGGGAAATGGGCGGGAGGCCCCAACCTTAGCCAAAGTATTGGCAGCTGATTACCGCTGGGTGACCTTTAAGGGAGAGACTCTAGATAGGCTTACTAGACTCCAGTGGATGAACTTGCATTGAGGGATGTCTGGGTGCACTAACTTGATTTGATAGGCCTTAAAATATGTGACAGATTACATACAGATTCAATCCTAGGATCTATTTGGGTAAGAAGAAAACCAACTCCCTCAAGTTAACCTCTGACCTCCACTTGTGTGCTATGGTATCTCTGGGCTCACACACATAAACTCAAATAAATGATAGTGTTAAAAATTATTATTATCTTCCTAGATCCCAAATCCTCCCTGTCCGCAATGTGTTCCCTGGCCGCCACGTTTCTGCTGCTGGTGTTCATCGTCGCAGCCCAGGCCAAGCCCGTGTTCTTCAAGGACTGCGGCTCTGTGTTGGAGTGATAAAGGAGGTGAACGTGAGCCAATGCTCTACCCAGCTCTGTGCACTACACAAAGGACAGTCCTATAGTATCAATGTCACCTTCACTAGCAACACTCAGTCTGAAAATAGCACAGTTCAAGTTCATGGCATCCTGGCAGGTGTCCCAGTCTTCTTTCCTATTCTTGAGCCTGATGGTTGTAAGTGGAATCAACTGCCCGCCCCATCTGGAAAGATAAGACCTATAGCTACCTGAATAAACTGCCGGTGAAGAATGAATACCCCTCTGTAAAGCTGGTGGTGGGGTGGAAACTTGAGGATGATAAAAATCTCTTCTGCTGGAGACTCCCAGCAGAGATCAAATGCTAAAAATAAATAAATAAAAAATATGTGATAGACTGCATGAAACCTGATGGGGGAGTATAGGAGGGTGTGGACAGGGGAGGAGGTATAAAGATGATTAAAATATTTTATATGAAATTCAATTCAAATATGCAATTAGATCTTAAAATATAAATTTGAAATTTTTTATGTCTACTATAATTTTGAATAATGTTTACTGACAAAACTGTACTGCCAGGCTTCAAGAATAAAGTGAAAGTTGTCACTGTTCCTATAATGTGAGTTTGCCATTTCCTTTCCAAATTCTCTACTTATACAAAGTCTTTCAATATATTCATGTTATTTCTTAAAAAGCAATTCTAATAAAATATTATAAATAAAAAATAAAAATAAACCTTCAAAAATTTAGTTATTTACTTTTGTGTATGAGTGCTTTGCCTGCATGTATATAAGTGTACTCATGTCGTGCAATGCCCTTGGAGGTCTGAAGAGGACATCAGATTCCCTAGAACTTGAGTTACAGACAGTTGCTAGCTGCCATGTGAGTGTTGGGAACTGAACCCTGGTCCTCTACAAAGGCAGCAAATGCTCTTAACTACTGAGACATCTCTCCAGATTCTATTTGTTTTTTTGAGATGGGGCCTGCTATATAGTCCAGGCTGGCCTTGAACTCATGATCCTCCTGACTCAGTCTCCTGTACAGGCATACAGAGGAACACATAGAAACAAATTAATGGTGTTCTGCCCAAGGTTGCTTGTACAGCATGACCCAAATCTGTTTGCCTGGAGTTGTGAAGGGAAGAGTCCTAAGTGAGCTTATTCGATTCGCAAATCCCAGAGACAAAAACTTTTAAAAACACGGACTTTTTACCAAAAGCACATTACGTTGGGAGCTCAAGAAATAGCAACAACAAAAGGCTTCTGATTGCGTGTAACTGGAGAATGAAGACAGATGACAGGAGAAAACTATTCTTCAACCAATACCATTCTTGGAGCTTTCAGCATTAGTTTAAGCCTGTGGCAGTAACAGGGCTGCCATCTGGAGACACTGTCTCCAAATTACATGATGTCTCTTAAGCACTAGAGTTGTGGAGCTAGTGATTATAAGGCCACAACACATGTCACAAAGATTTACATGGGAGGCTGGGACCTCAAAAAAATCACTTCTGTTCTATTTCTCTCTCATATTCTGTCAAGGAAAATACATATCAAATTGAAACTGGTAGAGGAAACAAGAATGGTAGAGAGAAATATAAAGCTCTGGATCAATGCAGAGAGCAATAGGGGCTCAGCTAGTGTAAATAAGTTCATGTTTGTTGGCCCAGTCTCAGAAAGACAAATGTCACACATTTTCTCTTCTTTGTGGTTCCTAGATTTTTTTTATTATTGTTTTTTATTTATAGATTTTTTTTGTGTATTTCATACAGAAAATCCCAATCTAATTCATCTTTATACCTGCATCCCAAATGGCACTCTCCCAAACCTCCCCCCAACCCAGTTCCTAGATTTTTAAAGCATACATAAAACCACCTGTGTATACAGGGCATGAAAGTAGAAGTGAAAATGTCCAAGGGGACAAAGAGGGCCAGGGAAGGACAAAGAAATTCGAGGGTCAGGGATATGGAGGAAATTTGTTCAACATACAACATATACTTTAAAATATTCTATTTACTATTTTTTTTCATATGTGCAACTGTATTGCCTGCATGTGTGTAAGTGCACCTGTGTCATGTAGTGCCCGTGGAGGTCTGAAGGGGGTGTTGGATGTCTTGGAACTGGAGTTACAGATGGTTGTTAGCTGCCATGTGGGTGCTGGGACCTTAACCCTGGTCCTCTACAGGAGCAGCCAGTGCTCTTAACCACTGAGCCATCTCTCCAGCCCCACAATATATACTTTTATGAAAATTAAAAATAAATCCCTGGCTCAGAGGAATCCTAGAGTAAAGACAGAATTTTGGAAGGAAGGAGAAGGGCAAAAGCAGACAGTTTTCAAATAAGGGAGAAGTAGTCTCTAGGAACTGTAGCCTAGTGGCATGACTGAGCACAGTGTTCTGGAATGTTTAAAGTTAAGGCTTAGGAACGGTTAGAGAAGGGAGTCTCTAGGAGCCCTGAAGAACAAGTAATTCCAGACTGACTTCATTTCCTTAAGAGGCAGGGCCACTAAACTGGTAGAACAGGGGAGATGGTAGGTTCATTATGTTGAATTCAGTAAAGCATATGGTTTTTCATGTCAGTGATGTGCATGAGATGAAGAAATACAGGGGCGGTGACAGTATAGTTAGAGAGATTCATAACTAACTGAACAACTGTATCCAAAGAATGCTAATGAGAACTGAGGTTAAGTCAATGGGCTACTGCATGCTGAAAATATCGGCTGGGAAAGTATTAGTACTGAGTGCTATGTCCACACACCATGCTACATCCTTTTCTTCTCATGTCCATCATCTCATGTAGTCCAACGCCCAATGATGTAAATAGTCTTTATCCTTATTTTACAGATGAAGAAGTAA